AGTCTTCAGAGATCTGGCAGCGGAAGCAACTTGACCATTTAGGAGACGAGATGCTGAAGCAATGGCTGGAATCCAGGATGGAAGCCACAACAGAAGCATCCTGGCTGTGTTAGATATGTGAAGATCCTGGGTCGCAGGACACCTTTCACTACACTTGCTTTCTTGCACAAGGGTATTCCGAAACTCATGGAAACGGCCACCTTGTCGTCGTCCTGCATTTTGCTTGGTGACCAGCTGTTCTTGACATGCCGTTGTGAGTCAAACAGAATGCAAGTAGGCTGAATCTTTGGACAGATTTGCCATGTTCACGGGGCAAGAATCTGTTCCCAAATTACCCTGTGTTTGGATTAGTCTTGTAAAGGCACATAGTATGCCACTCCTAGAGTGGAACGTAATTTTGAGGGACATCAGATCCTCATCAATTCCTGCCAACAGGATCCAACAAGCTCAATCCTATGCAGCTGTCTACTGCACAGCCAAGGTTTTGAAAAGGGAAGCTGGCAGCGTGGATGGCATGCTGGGCAACATACATCTTGAGAAGTTGAAGCCGCAGATTCAGGATGAACAAGCTGTCGCTTTGCACGACAGCTGCAGCTGCTCATTCTTGTTTCTGAAAAAGCACGTGTTGCTTATTTGGGGACTGCCCAGCCCGAGCTTCATGCCCAGAATCTTTTCAATCAATACGCACTACAATAATTACAGAACTCTTTTCGTCAAAGCCTCACCTTGCGCAGGTTTGTTCTTGCTTACATTTACACTCCACAACAACAAAAACACAAAGCACTGATGTAGGGAAAGTCCCGCTTTCTACAGCAGGCCAAGACAGGCCCCCCCAGCCAAGCTAGCACACCCGCCCTGTCCCAAGTGTCGTGGGTAGATTTCACTGAGCTGTCCCTTTCCTTTCATCGTGGACATTTGTTGCATACTTTGTTTGACACGATAAACAAGCAGGGCAGACTCATTCATGCCAGAAGCAATGACGTTCAACCAGGAGCTTTGGCTAAAGCCGGTGCAACCGCAGCCAGAGCTGAAGCAGCTGAAGCAGCTGACGCCGACAAGTCTGGGTGGGGCTGAAGCAGTCCGGCTTGCTGGGATGGATGCTGTCAGCGCTGACGTGTTTGAGACTGGTGAGATCTTTCGTCAGGCTGTTTGTTTTCAAAAACTATTTTTGTAAAGGACATACAGTGCTATGACATGACCTGAAGACATGCTATAAGAAATGGCCAGCTTCAAGCTTTCTACAGGCACGGAAGGAGCTCTTCCGTGAATTGCGGTTGGAAAAGCTTCCTGTCGAGGTGCTCTTGGGGTTCAAGTTTGCAACAGCTTTTTGGGGAAAAAGATGGGAAAAAGATCTGGAATGATTTGGACGTGTCTCCGGTGACTGACAGATCCGGACGTGCCACCAGTGAAGCTGGTCTCGCAAGGAAGTGGTGCACTCCTGGCAGGAACGCATGGTGGAGTCGGAGGACTGGGGCGGGTCCTTGTAGAGCTGTGTAGACCTGTAGAGCTCTGCCACAGCTTGCAGATTGCAGCGTTTGGAGCAAGTGGAATCCTGCCAAACAACATGACATCCGGGCTTTTCAACAGGCAACCTTAGCTTCAGCCCTTGGAAAGATGGTCATTGGTGCGGCTGCAGCTGGCCAACTGCAAAATGCGGAGGCGCCGCTTCAGAGCCTTTGAGAATTTGAGGCATGTTGTTTCTCCTGCAAAAAATTGAGGGTTGTGTTTGACCTTTTCTCCTGCGAAGGGCGCGCTCGAGATCTCGATGGGCCGAACGAAACGGCGCGTTGCGTTCGGACCGTGGTAGGTCCGGTTTTGTCCTTCGGTAGGGCTCCGTTCATGGTATTCGGAGCTTCCTGGTGATCCTCGGCGACTTCGGCGCGGTGGAGCTCTGGGGCGATGCCTTCAGAGGATGTCCCGGTCCTAGCACCTTCGAGGCCTTTGCGACTGTCAAGGACAATGAGAAGAAATTGGCTGCTCCCCTCATCTGGCAGAGGCTGGCCGGTGCAGCGAAGAGTGTGGTGCTCTACCTGGAGCCTCGCGACTTCACCTCGGAAACTGGGTTGGAGAATCTGTTGAAGGTTCTCCGAGAGAGCCCGCTCCAGAAGCTTCCGATCAAGGACAGCTTCTCGCGGCTTGAGAAGTGGTCTGGATTGAGGAGGGCACCCTTGGAGACGAGCTCCTGGTCCGAGAACGAGCCAGGCATTTACGGGCCAAGCGTGAGGTGAAGTCCGTGGGAGCTGGAGCCAGTGAGAGAGACCCCGTGCAGGGATCGCGTCGGGAGAGACAGCTGGATTCTTTGAACGAGCTCAGAGGCTTCGGAGAGACAGCGAGTGCTGACGTCAAGGGGCTGCTGGGTCCAATCAATATTGTTGCGGAATGCAATCTTCCCGGAGGGCGCGAGGGACATCACCAAGACCGACATCGGCCGACAAAGTGGCCGACAACTCGGCGAAGGCGCGGCTGGTTGTCTTGGGCTTCCAATTCCCAACCACAATGGCCTCGTTCACGCTCCCCGCAAGCGGTTCGAAAGATGCCAGGAGGTGATGGTGAGTCCAGGCTGTGTCCAGATGATGCCTCTTCGCGCTCTATGAACGCGAAAGACGAGAAGGTCATCCGCTGGGGCAAGTGGGAAGAGGGCCAATTCTAATTTGCAGGACGCCGAATCACTCAAAAGAGCGACTACAGCATTATATGCGCTGGACCAGGACAGCTATTTCAACAAGTGGTTGGAAGAGATCCATGCAGATTGACAAGAAAAAGGCCCGAAAGACGTCGCTCAATGCCCATGAAGTCTGACAACTTCGAGGAGCTCTGGGAATGATGAGTTGGAGGAGTACTCAGTCAGGCCCCCAGTTCCTGGCAGAGATTTCTCCTCAGTGAGATTGATCCGCAAGATGCGGAGAGGTGCTGCGCAGGGCCTCTTGTTATTTCCGACTTCCTTTGAGATTAAGGGAGCTGGTGACGTGGCTGTGGTGACTTGGGCAGATGCCTCTCAACGCAATCGACCATGGTGATTGAAATTGGATAGCGTGGAATCCTTGATGGAGTGGAGACCCAACCGGCGTTGGTTCAATGGAAGAGTGGGAAGACTCCCCGACAATGCTTGGGCTACAACGGTGATGAGGTTCAGGCCATCGCCATAAGCGAGGGAGGACCCCAGCTTCCAAGTCAGAGCGCTGACCTCGGAGCTGTTCGGAGTGATCCCGAAGAGAGAGGACATCCATGATGCCGTGAAGGCAGTGCCTGGAGCGCTGGTGATGGATTCCGGCGGGATCTTCGACGCGATGACCAGCAATGGACAGCAGAGCAGGCTATGAGCTCACGCTGGCAGTGAGCCAAGCTGTCAAGGCGGGCGCGCAGCTTCGATGGGTGAACGGCGTGGCTCAACTGGCTGGCGCCGTGGCCAAGTTTGGAGCGAGGAAGGTGCTGCTCCAGTTCTTTGCCCAGCACCAATAAGGTGACTTGCCCACGATCCGAAATTTGAGGCCGGACGCTGGAACAACAGATTCGGGAAATCGAAGGCCATCTTCATCAAGGCCCTGAAGGAACTGGCCTTGAAGAACAACTGGCCATGGGACGCTGATGAGCCGCCGGTGAAGTACGAACCCTTTGACGGAGAAAAACTCAGTATGTGTAGGGGATGTGCTTTCTGGGTTGTGTTTGACCTTTTCTCCCGCGAAGGGCGCGCTCGAGATCTCGATGGGCCGAGCGAAACGGCGCGTTGCGTTCGGACTGTGGTAGGTCCGGTTTTGTCCTTCGGTAGGGCTCCGTTCATTTGATGTTTGTCAATGCTCCGGCTTGTTGCAAAAGACTACTCACTGTTGGAGGTGATATGGCGGAAGCAGATGGAAAAGGCTCACCCGGGCCATTTTGCAAATCATTTGGATCAAAGCCTTGGGCGTGAGAGGACAAATGGTGCACCGTCAGACTCCTTGTCGTTTAGTTCATTGATGTTCATTGGCATGGCATGAAGATGGTTGCAGGTGCTTCAAGACAGTGCGTCTCTTATGAACAACCTTGACAATCTCATGAAGGACAGCTTTCCCAGGCCATGCCTTTGAGAAACAATTAGATTAGATGCCGAACAAAGATAATACATGTATTGATACTATATAATTCTATTTTGGGGTTCATTCGGGCTAAGGTTTTGATTTTTTTTGCTCAGTCAGGCTTGGTGAAGACCTGAGACCTGACTTGATGGCAGAATGTAAAAAGTGGCTATCGAAGCATTCACAGAAGGATGCTCAACTGTATCAAGGCTGGACCTTGCATTTCTTTCTTGTAAGGGAGCGGAATCTGCATGGTTCACCAGGGTGCTCCATGGTTCACAACAGCTTCATGTTGAGAGTATCAGTTCGGCCAAGCGAAGTGCGGGTTTCAGCAATTTCAGCAGGGAAGGTGGATCGAGGGATGTTTTGGCATCATGGAGCATCATCAAGGGTAGAGCTCTCGAGGTTTTGTGAACGTCGTCAACTCGGTGGCAGCTGCCGATGGGGTGATGATAGCAAGAGCAGATAGCAGCTTTGAAGGTCTAAGGACGCAGATCCAGGCGTGCGCTGCGTGGGGGTGTGGCGAAGAGTGCAAGTTGTGGAGTAGAAAGAACAGGGCAGATTGCTGTTGCAATTCAAGCTGTTGGGTTCACTATAGTTCACTTCTACTCTAAGGAGCTGCAAGAAGAACGCTACTTGCATTGGGTCTGAGACATGACGCGACCAGCCCTACTTGGAAAATATTTTGCTGTTGAAACAAAAATGGTTTCTTTCTTCGAGCCTTACGGGCCTTTACATGCTGGACGTGGAAAACTACTCAAAATCTTTGATGGGAGGATGCTTGGCGCCAACGTGTGGGTGACGCTCGTGCTGACCGCAGCCACAGTGAGCGCAGTCGCAGGGAGCGCAGCCATGAGGCCACCAAGAGCCAGGCAGGGAGCTGGAGTCATGTCGAAAGCTGGTAGGTTTAGATAGGTTTAGTACATTTTATCAGGGTCCAGAGTTTATCTACTTCTAGTTACATGTTGTGGACAGTTCGTTAGGTCTTAGGTCTGTAACACCTCACGGATCCCCACGTTTCCACTGAGGACGCCGAGGTGCGGACTGAGAAGATTCAGCCTTCAAAGGTCGGAGACGGAGCGATGCGATGCGATGCGATGCGTGGGTTTGTTGAAAAGACCAAGGCTAAGGCGGCTAAGGCTAAGATGTCAAGGTCATGACAAGGTCATGATACAGTTGATGGTCATTGAAACTGATTCAGGTGCTGAAGGATGGAGAAGAACTCCTGAAGGAGATTGAGGATATCTTCAGGTGTAGCTGGGCAAGGCCTTTTCATTGCACTTCTGCTTCTAGCAACTGAACCCTGCATACCACGTGATCCAAGCAACACCTGGGGAACAAGTGCTTGTTGAACCTCATGTGTTTTTGATTTTATTTGATTCATGTGGCTTTATGCAAGCATTCGCATGTGCTCCAGCCAACTTACTTCTGGCATGGAGGCCTGGTGAAGACTTGACACCAGAGATTCAGAAGCACTGTGAGCTTTGGAGCACCCGGACTGAAGCTCATGGCAGCACCCTTTACCAAGGCATGAAGAAAAGAGCAAGCAAATGCATCAATTCAAACGATATCAACTAGCACTTGTGAGTTTCATGGGAAGCATGCGGTTGGCAATGCTGAGAAAAAGTCATTTCGTTAGGTTGATGTCGGACCGAACACGCAGGCTTTGCCGAGGTGGTGGAGTCTGTGGTCCAAGCACACGCAGTAGATGGGAAAGTCTTGGGGGACGTGGAGCTATTCAATCGGATGAAGGTTGACATCAAGGAGATTTCACGGTCCAAAAAGACCACTAACCAATCACAGTTGTGGATGGTTGTGTGTGCAGGAGAGCTGGAAGCACAGGACAACGCAGGCGGTACAACTAAAGGATCGGTTTGTTGCACTCTGAGCAGGTTTGGATGAAAAGATGAAACTATGTTTCCGGATCCACAGCACAGATCTGACCGTACTTCAACAAGATTGGCAATGATTGGCATAGGCCCTAGTTTTTAGGGGTGGACAGGCTGCAGCCTGTGTACTGGGTTCTCAAGGAGGCGAGCCAACGGACTGCCAACCGGGATCACGATCTTCGGAGCAAGGACAGGTTTCAACATTTACAGAAGTCAAGTGGATATAGCGTTTGCCGAGACAACCTCAGCGCTTTCCTCGGTTGCTTTCCATTGTTTCAAAACATTGTGACAAAAAGAAGTGCTTCAACCTCATCCTCATGGTGAGGAGCAGCGAGCTCCGAAGACTGAACGACTCGGTAAGAGCCAGGCTGCTCTTGTTCAGCATCCAACAATCCCAAAGAAAGCCGTGAAGCTCGAAGACTTACAGCCACTACACACACACATATATATATATTATATTTATTATACATTATATATTATATATATTTTATTATATATATTATATTATGTATATATATATATTATATATATTATATATATATATATCAGTCAGTGCATTGAAGAGATGAAGTCCTGTAATAAAGCTCCACGAGGTGTCCGAAACCCTTTGCGCCCACGGAAGGCCATTCACGATGCGGAGCAGCTCTTGCATGAGATGGAGGCAACTTGATGCCATTTGTAACTTGAGTTTGCCCAGGCACACTCTTGATATCTCCTGATACTGTAGGTCAAAACAACCACCGGACGCCCTGAGCTGTGATCTCTAGAAACAGCCCTTGAAGACCTGCGGTGAACACCTTCAAATATGATTTGTGATTTGGGAAGCGTCAACAAGACCAACAGAAGCATCAGTCAGTGGAGACATTGCACGTTCAGTGAGCTTTTTTCTGTCGCCACAAGGGGTTTGTGGTGTGGTTTCATTCTTCTCCAGGTGCTTTTCGAAGGTGGCCAAATGCCCGCAGCCTCCGTGGTGGCGGAGAAATGCAAGGCCTGGCGCTTGGAACGGCTCGAGGCTGCCAAGCTTGCAGAGGAGGGGCCAAACCGGGACTACCATATGAGCACTAGCTTCATTAAACAAATTGTAGCATGGCAACGCTCAAAGCCGTGAGATTTCCTGCGTTGCCTTGTGGCAGGATTCAGAGATGGGTGTTTGGCTTCAGAGTCTGATGGACTCACTGCAAACAGCGCTGAAAGGCAGAGCTGGTGTGGAACATTTGGGAAGAGAAGAATTTGCACGTGACTCGAACAACATTTTGTGTGTTTCAGTCAGTATGATCATGATTATAAACTCAATCTATATATTTGATGATAAGCTATATATACAAAATCCAGGTTCCGCACAGATGTCTTCACCTTTCTAAGGGCTGCAGCCAAAGATCATCGAGCAGTGGAAGCATCAGCTACATGGTGTGCAACACGTGCAGTTTGACTCCAATGCATCACAGGCCTTGTTGAAAGCCGGAGGGAGCAATGCAAGAGTCCAAGCTCTTGTTAACCCCCAAACAACCGTGCTTCCAAGCTTTATTGTGCTTTCAGTGCTTTCCTGTGTTTTGCGCCGGGCTTGTTGGTGTGTGCTTTTAGATTCTGACTAAGCTGTATATTTGCACATTGCCTGATTAGTCTTTAATATGGATGAGTTCCCTTCCTTCCCACTCATGTACACATAAAGACGGTAGTGAAAGAGGCCGGATACCGAAACTGTTGTGCCCCTACACGCAGTGAAAGATGTTGCCTGTTTCGCATGAAGAGCCAGCTTTGGCAGAGTCCCTGCGAGGGACGTGGGCGAAGCCTTCCAAGAGATTCAAAGCACTCGAAAGTCCCAGGGCAGCACATAGCTGGTCGGGCCCAGGAAGAAAACTGAAAGATGGGGACATGTCGGACCGAGACACATGGCCACATGGCTAATTACCTGGAAAATCGAAAAGCACGACCCAGGACTGTGAACAATTGCCTGATCTTGTTGCAGACATAAGAAGCGCAAGGTTTTGTTTTGGCCTCAAACCTAGGTGGACGTCGCAAAAGAAGATTTGAAGATGCGCCTGGAAGCCTTGATGCAGAAGGAAATGGATCCAATACTTCTCGAACAAAAAGTCGAGGACTGAAGACCGGTGATCAAACTTATTCTTACTAGTAGCTATTTGCTACTAGTGGTAAGGCCAGGAGCCCCCAGTAGCGTCCTTGCTCCTAGTAGCGATGCCCTTTTTCTTCAGACCTTCAGACCTTTCCTTTTTTAGCCAATTTCGTGTCAGGAGCTCGTTCAGACTTGGCAGCAACGGCAGCTCACTCAAGATGTTGATGCTTAGCTCTACAATCGCCCGACAATACTTCTCAGATCTGGCCAGAATTTGGTTCATTGCACTAGCAGGATTGATTCATTCTTGGCAACTCTGTACTCTTTTGAACTCATTGAAGACTTTGACATACTTTGACTGCGCTACCATGCTCTGTTTTTCACGACTCCTATCAGTCTATGTGCAACAAGAGTTCTTCAAGCTGCCCAAGGATTCCATCACGGCCTCCCTAATCAAGAATTTGGCCGAGACAGCTCGAAGCGTGACCTCCAAAGTGGGCAAAGCCAGACAAGTGGCTTCGATCTTTGAGGCGTTGGGTGCACGTGCGCAACACTCTCAAGAACATCCTCAAACGATCCAACTGGAAGACAACATTGGGCTAGTGCAGAGAGTGCTGGCGTGCTCTTCCAACTTCAGGAAGCTTGGAAAGCTCAGCAGACATGGCAGAATTGGTGTCCGCCGGGTCAGGCAGAGGCCACGGCATTTGGGCGTATAAAGTGTATACTGTATATATAAATATAATAAGTATATACACCTGAAGTAGATCAAATAAGTAAGAACATCCCTATATCCGTGAATCATCGAACCTGCAACATGATCATCCTAAACATTATTTTTGTTCTCTAGAGTTGCAGGTTGGCCAAGCAGGGTCTGAGCTCTTGGTAGAACTGCGACAGATGCGCCTGGGCAGTCAGAGTCACGCAGCTGAAATTTGGCATTATTTTTCATTGGGTTCATCGGAAGTTGGCAGTTTTGGGTGCAAGAATTACTGTGCGTGTTCAGCTGGTGTTCTCTTTGGCACGAGGGCAAGGCAGCCCAGTTTTGTAGCTTGCGCATGCTTGCGCTGTTTACCTCTTGTGGGTTCATGACCGAGGTGACTGGAGCAACCTCTTGGAGAGAAAGTTGGAAGAATGGCAGGCAGACGCTCATGATCCTTTGCGACGAGGAAAGTAAGAGAACACATACACAAATAACATGTCAAACAGACAGCCTGCAGGCAAGACATCACCAGCTGCCATTGCAGGGCTTGGCAGAGGCGACCCGGAATGTGACGACCCACCAGGCCGGTGTGTTACATGTTGTTACCCTGGCCTTACTACTACTAGGAACAAGGACGCTACTAGGGGCTTCTGGCATCGCTACTAGGAGCAAGGACGCTACTAGGGGCTCCTGGCCTTACTACTAGGAACAAGAAGCTATTAGGAACAAGCTATAAAAAACGTACTCATAGCTTCACAACTGATTGGCGATGACATGTTTGATGTGACCGAGGTGAACAGCGGTCGCCGGGATTCAGCCCAGCTGATTCAACGAATTCAGTTGGCATGGCAACAACAAATGGAGGTGCTTACTGTGCTTCTACGCGCACAATTCAAGAGACAAGACAGGACACAGGTAAGCAACTTAAGTAGAAACAATAAGCACACTCAGGATCTATACTGAGGAAACTATGCTGAAGATCGCTTGACTGCATTTCGACAGTTCCGACAGCACGAAGAAGTCGAACCTGTGGTTGGTACTATGGATGCTATCACATCGACATTGAAAAACTTAAAGCCACTGTGCAAGATGGTCCTTTGCTTCCTAGCGGTACTTGGGCAGGGAAAAGGCATGAAATGCTGCCACATGTGAGACGCGCAGGTCGCACAAAGGAGCACAAGGCTCTGCGAACACGGGCAATTTGACAATTGTTTTTCTCCCCCCTCCGTCCGAGAAATGGGGCGGTGATAGTGAGCATGAACAATGAACAGCAAGAGTGGCATTGCAGGGCAGTTTTGGCATTCATCTGAAGGGAGCTGTTGATGCGTAATTATTTGAGATCATCAGCCAAGCTGTTGGGAAGAGCTTTCAACTTTCTGCTTCTGAGAATGGTTTCAATATGTGACGTGACACGATAGGCCAAGCAGAGGTGCACGAAGCGCAGGCGAAAGAGGCTATGTCTCAGGGAGTTTCAGCTGCTAGACATCAAGTCATGAGCAGGGTGGTCGCGAGTTTTCATGGACTCTTTGCAAAGTGAATTGTATCAAAAAATTGGGTCAACCACTCACTACTCACTACTCTTTTGTAGCAAGGCAAGTTTTACTCCATCCTGCGTCCTGCTGTGGTGATAAGCAGCACGCAGTACTTGCAGAATCTCAAGAAGTCTTTTCTGAGGTAGCAAATGCCTCACAGCACTGTGACTGTCCGCTTTCAAAACAATTGCGCCGGTTTTCTTTCAAGATGTGCACGCCACTGGCTTGGTGCTTTTCACTCTTCTGGGCACACATATCAAGTATGACATCAATCTACAGAACATAAATGAACATAATACTGTGTTTTTGGGTCAACCTACTAGCAATGGGCTTCAATCTAGTTACTCCTAAACGCAGAAACTTTCTTCGTCCGTGTTTGTGAGTGCGCTGAGAGAGGCAACTTTGAAAGCCAGGCAGATGGGACCGCTTTCGAGTCCTTTTTATCGGGCTGAGCTGTAGTTTCACTAGGAGCTTTGGTTGAAAGAAATGGCCTACTTGCGATACATGTCAGCAAAAACAGATCGGGAATGCCAGGACTTTTTGTTCCTGGATGTTTCAGGTTTTGGAATTCCATATGACAATTTCACAGCTTGCACTCAGGCTGAGATGAACAAGCGAAGTAGGCCTGACCCAAGCTGATTTCATCAAGACGCATCATTTGTGAACCACATTGCACCACAATAGTATTTATTTGAAAACTATTACCAGTCATCCTATTCTAGCCCACCACTTTACCTAGCGTTCCATGTTTGTTGGATTATCCATCTTTGCTAGCAGAGACAAAGCCCCATGACTGCGTGACTTGCCTTTTCGGGTCTTTCCGTTGAAGCCCAGAGCCCCAGGTCTCGTCCGAAAGAAGGGCGGCCACCGTCTGGGACTCGATGCGAACAAAAGAACACTCGATCCTAGGTATTGAAGAAATGGTCCTGTTTCACTGGCAAACTTAGTCAAATCTTGTCGATATTGTAACGGCTCGTGAGAATGCCTGAGAAATCTGGATTGCCTTCCAAAAGTTTGGGCTGATCAATCCAGATTGATTTAGCAGTTGAATCCTCAAGCTCGCCTTGTCTCACAAAGCCACTGCTGCATCATTGCAGGGAAGCTCCAAATCGGCCTGGAGCACGTTCCACGGAGAGGACCCATGAACAAATGCAACTTATACGTAGATGAGAAGGATGACAATGTGCCAAGTTCCTCGCATGTTCTTTGTTCTGCTACCTGCATTCAATTTTTTCAAGACCAAATGAGCAAGCCAGCTAGCTGCTAGCTGCATCTAGAATTCAACATCTTGACAGGAAAGCACCCTCCGAGCCCTTTGACATCTTGGACAGGCACCGGGCCTCTTTGATGCCTTTCACATGTTTTCAAGCTAGCAAGTGACAATGTTGAGATGTTTCTTCAAAGTAGAGGCTAGCTCTGCCGTCAATGCCAACAAGAACTTGTCGCAGGCTAAAAGATGGTACACCTCCTGAACCTGAGGCTTCGACCTTGGAGTTTCATGGTGCAATTTGCATTCCTGGAGCTGAACATGTGTATTCAGTTCGTCAATTGGCAGTTCTCGTACTAAAATGTTTAAGCATTGCACTTTATCATACACAGAAACTGTTTCAGAAACTATGCGTGTTTCAACAACTACAACCGCAATTCAGAAATGAAGGTTCCTGTTCACACAAATGAAGACGGCGTGATTTGCAAGGAATTTGATGTGGAGTTATGCTTCCGAATCCCGCAAAACATAGTTCCGGGAACATGGATTTGCAATCTCCTCCTTTAGTTTGCCAATAATCTACACAAATCTGGTATAGTTTCCCATTTGACTCTTTATCACAGTGCAGTTGGACGGCTTTCTAATTCTAATTGAATGGTGTGTTTGCCCATGATAAATTCTGTGGACACTCATAGTGGATCAGCCCCTTTGTCCTGCCAGATTGACCCGTTACGTGAACCACCACGATCCAGTATGAGCATGGAGCGAGGCCTGGGACTTGTGTGTGTTTTCCTTCTGCATCTTTGCGCGGCAATGCAAACCCTCAGAGCATAGGACGGATCACTACAAGAGTTTGAACAGCTTCTGAAGGCTTCCACCAAGAATCATCCAGAGCATCTCGGAACAACAGCATTCGGCCTCAGTGTTGCAACCTTTCGTAATTAGCAAAGGGGATCCGCCCCGGCCACCCGAGGTCCCTTTCATGAGATGCCAAGCCGAGGCAAGATGTGATGTCGGGGGTTTTGTTCCAGTTCTGCATCTAAACTATCCTTTCTTGATCCAGATATATTTTAGATGATAAAGGATGATATACTATAGGATATATAAATATAGTAAGTAATCTCCAGACAGAACCGAGAATGAATCAAGAGAAGAATGAGGAAAGAGCGACATGCTGCCGACTGCCGCAATCTCTTTTTTCTTTACTATAACCCCAATGATCCATGGTCGGTCAATCTTGACCCTGTGCAATGTGATGGGATTGTGGAGGCAAACCAGCAAAAAACACAACAAACAAACCACGAGCATATTCTATCTCTTGCTGAGTGCTATTTTCAAAGCCAAATTGCTATAAAATCATGTCGCCCCCTCCTTATCAGCGAAGGCAATCCCTGCTTCCATACATGCTTTGTGCACACGATCGCACTGCTTTCTGGCAACAGGCTTGTGGAGGAAGCCAAAATAGTAATGTGGTATAAAACAACAAATCAATAGGTCTTACGGCTTCTCATTGTGAACATATTCTATCTCTTACTGCTTGCTATGTTTAAAGTTTAAAGTCAAACTGCTACAAAATCTTGTCGCCCCCCTCCATGTCAGCAGAGGCAATCCCTGCTTCCATGCATGCTTTGTCCACACGATCGCATCATGTATATACATATATAGTTCTGCATTATGTATATACATATGTATATATACATACAATCCTGCATACTTCTACATTATGTATTTACGTGTATGTATATTAATCGGCCCGTCGTGTAAAACGAGCCGACGCCGGAAACTCGTT